TTCCTGTGTTCCAATTACTGGGGAGGCCGAGGAGGGAAAATGGCTCGAGCTAGGAGTTTGAGGTTGCAATGAGCTATGATCGCACCACTGCCCTCTATCCTGGGTGACAGAGCAAGACCTCTTCCCAAAATAAATAAAATCAATACATAAATCAAAAAAACTAAAATAAAAATAGAAAAGAAGGAACTTATCTGACTCCCCAATCCCTGCACCAATTAAAACTAGGCCCCCCGCCGGGCTCAGTGGCTCATGCCTGTAATCCCAGCACTTTGGGAGGCCCAGGTGGGTGGATCATCTGAAGTGGGGAGTTCAACACCAGCCTTATCAACATGGAGAAACCCCGTCTCTACTAAAAATACAAAATTAGCCGTGCGTGGTGGCACATGTTTGTAATCCCAGCTACTCGGGAGGCTGAGGCAGGAGAATTGCTGGAACCCGGGAGGCGGAGGTTGCAGTAAGCAGAGATCAAGCCATTGCACTCCAGCCTGGGCAACAAGAGCGAAACTCCATCTCAAAAAAAAAAACTAGGCCCCCTTCTGGAGGTGAATGGTAACCAGGAAAGCACCATGGGAATGTACTTAATGCCACTGAACTGGACACTTAAAAATGGTTAGGATCGTAGATTTTGGCCAGGCACAGGGACTCACGCCTGTAATCCCAGCACTTTGGGAGGATGAGGGAGGTGGATCTCTTGAGCTCAGGAGTTCAAGACCAGCCTGGGCAACATGGTAAAACTCTGTGTCTACTAAAAAATATATTTAAAAAATTAGCTGGGCATGGTGGTGTATGCCTGTAGTCCCAGCTACTTAGGAGGCTGAGGTGGGAGGATCACCTGAGCCTGGGAAGTTGCTGCAGTGAGCTGACTGCCCCAGCCTGGGTGACAGGAGTAAGACACTGTTCCCAAAATAAATTTTAAAAATATCGTAAGTTTTATGTTGTGTGATTTTTTTTTTTTTTTTTTTAGACAGAGTCTCGCTCTGTCACCCAGGCTGGAGTACAGTGGTGCGATCTCAGCTCACTCCAACCTCTGCCTCCCGAGTTCCAGCGATTCTCCTGCCTCAGACTCCCAAATAGCTGGGAGTACAGGCATGTGCCACCAAGTCTGGCTGATTTTTGTATTTTTAGTAGAGACGGGGTTTCACCATGTTGGCCAGTCTGGTCTCCAGCTCCTGACCTCAGGTGATCCACCTGTCTCGGCCTCCCAAAGTGCTGGGATTACAGGCGTGAGCCACCGTGCAGGGCCTGTTGTGTGTATTTTAATCATTATTATTAAAAAGAAAAAAAAAATCCAGGACCTCTGTCTCCCATTCTTATCTTTCACTGGCCCTTTTCCTCTTCCCTCACTTAGCCCAATTTGAAATTATGAGTTTCCAGGTACGATTCATCATGAAGAAACACAGGTCTCTTCCTTGGACTGTGGGCAGGGCTTTCTGTCTACCTCTTTCACTGCAGCATCCCCAGCACCACACTGAATAATCTTTTAACATGCTCAGAGAGGTTAAGCGACTTGCCTGATGTCACACAGCAATAAAGAACAGCTTCACATTATGAAGCAACTTTCTCCTTGCCAAGCACCTAACTCTTTGAACACTCAGACTCAACCTTCAGAGGCAGATTCCATTATTATTTCCGTTTTTATTTTTTATTTTTATTTTTATGTTTTTGAGACGGAGTCTCACTCTGTTGCCAGGCTGGAGTGCAGTGGTGCGATCTTGGCTCACTGCAACCTCTGCTTCCTGGGCTCAAGCAATTCTGCTGCCTCAGCCTCCTGAGTGACTGGGAGTACAGGCATGCACCACTAGACCTGGCTAATTTTGTATTTTTAGTAGAGATGGGGTTTCACCATGTTGGTCAGGCTGGTCTCGAACTCCTGACCTCGTGATCTGCCTGCCGCGGCCTCCCAAAGTGCTGGGATTACAGGCGTGAGCTACGGCGCCAGCCATTTTTTTTTTTCCAAGACGGAGTCTCCCTCTCTCGCCCAGGCTGGAGTGGAGTGGCGTGATCTTGGCTCACTGCAAGCTCTACCTCCCGGGTTCACACCATTCTCCTGCCTCGGCCTCCCTAGTAGCTGGGACTACAGGCGATCGCCACCACAACCGGCTGATTTTTTTTTTTTTTTTTTTTGTATTTTTTAGTAGAGACGGGGTTTCACCGTGTTAGCCAGGATGGTCTCGATCTCCTGACCTCGGGATCCACCCGCCTCAGCCTCCCAAAGTGCCGGGATTACAGGCGTGAGCCACCGCACCCGGCCTGGCCATTTTTTATTTAAAAAAATTTTTTTGAGACAGAGTCTCATTCTGTCACCCAGGCTGGAGTGCAGTGGCACAATCTTAGCTCACTGCAACCTCTGCCTCTTGGGTTCAAGTGATCCTCCCACCTCAGCCTCCCGAGTAGCTGGGATTACTATAGCTGGTCTTGAACTCCTAACCTCAAGTAATCTGCCCACCTCAGCCTCCCAAAGTGCTGGGATTATAGGCGTGAGCCACAGCGCCTGGCCTATTTCCCTTTATTTATATTATAGTTTATGTTTTTTAACAGAGGGGCTCTCGGCCAGGCGCGGTGGCTCACACCTGTAATCCCAGAAGTTTGGGAGGCTGAGGCAGGTGGATCACCTGAGGTCAGGAGTTCAAGATCAGCCTGGTCAACATGGTGAAACTCCCCCCACCCCTACTAAAAATACAAAAATGAGCCAGGCATGGTGGCACATGCCTGTAATCCCAGCTATTTGGGAGGCTGAGGTAGGAGAATCGCTTGAACCCAGGAGGTGAAGGTTGCAGTGAGCCAAGATCGCACCATTGCACTCCAGCCTGGGCAACAAGAGTGAAACTCCATCTCAAAAAAAAAAAAAAAAAAGGCCGGGCGCGTGGCTCAAGCCTGTAATCCCAGCACTTTGGGAGGCCGAGACGGGTGGATCACGAGGTCAGGAGATCGAGACTATCCTGGCTAACACGGTGAAACCCCATCTCTACTAAAAAATACAAAAAACTAGCCGGGCGAGGTGGCGGGCGCCTGTAGTCCCAGCTACTCGGGAGGCTGAGGCAGGAGAATGGCGTAAACCCGGGAGGCGGAGCTTGCAGTGAGCTGAGATTCGGCCACCGCACTCCAGCCTGGGCGACAGAGCGAGACTCCATCTCAAAAAAAAAAAAAAAGAGGCCGGGCGCGGTGGCTCACGCCTGTAATCCCAGCACTTTGGGAGGCCGAGGCGGGCGGATCACAAGGTCAGGAGATCGAGACCACGGTGAAACCCCGTCTCTACTAAAAATACAAAAAATTAGCCGGGCGCGGTGGCGGGCGCCTGTAGTCCCAGCTACTCAGGAGGCTGAGGCAGGAGAATGGCGTAAACCCAGGAGGCGGAGCTTGCAGTGAGCCGAGATCGCGCCACTGCACTCCAGCCTGGGCGACAGAGTGAGACTCCGTCTCAAAAAAAAAGAAAAAAGAAAAAGAAAAGAAAAGAAAAAGAGACGGGCTCTCTAAAACTCTGAACTCTTGAACTCCTGGGCTCAAGCGATCCTCCCGCCTCAGCTTCCCAAAATGCTGGGATAACAGGTGCAAGCCACCTCTCCTGGTCCTATGATTGCTATTTAACAGAGAAATGTAAAGGAGCCTCAAAGAGGGAAAGTGATTTGCTCAGGGTGACACAGCAGAGAAACGAGGGAAGCTAGAATTGAAGGGCTTCGGAGTGGAGGAGTATTGGGGGAGGGGGGCAGACTCCTGAGACTTTTCTTTTTTCTTTTTTTTCTTTTTTTTTTTTTAATTGAGACAGTCTCACTCTGTGCCCCAGGCTGGAGTGCAGTGGTGAGATCTGAGATCACTGCAACCTCCGCCTCCCGGTTCAAGCGACTCTCATGCCTCAGCCTCCTGAGTATCGGGGACTACAGGCGGGCGCCACCGCCCCCGGGTAACTTTTTTTGTATTTTTAGTATAGACAGGGTTTCACCATGTTGGCCAGGCTTGACTCCTAGAACCTTTCAACCATGGCAGTCTGGGACCTGAGCGGCCACCTCCAAAGCTTGTTTCCCCACGTCACCTCCCTGTACTCACTACTTTTGGCTCTGAAAGTGTAACTCGGAGGGGGCTCCCAGGTCCCCAAGAGGCTCCCACGAGCAGTTCAAGTCGCCCAAGGGTCCAACTCCGTAGCACTGCAGTGGCCCGGCGCTGCCTGGAGAGGGAGTCAGAGGGTCTCAGGAAAGGGGGTCGAATCCCCCACTTCCGCCTGCGCACCCCAGAACTTGGACTTCTGACAATTGCAAGGTGGGGGGCTTAGGGAAATGAGCAGCAGGAAGCCTCCCCAGGTTCCGTGCAAACCCCCCCTTTCCCTGTGCTCGCCACATCCTGTTAACCACCCGGAGAGCTCCCCCACCCCGCCCCGGGGCTCCGGTTCGACCTTGCTGCCGCCCATTCCCCAGTGTCGCCGGGTCCCTGCCCCGGGGGAGCCGAGTGGCGCCTGCACCTCTGCCTTTCGCTCCGCAAACGCGTGGCTTATCCTAGAGCATTGGCGCCTTCGCGGGGAGAGCAGCGTTAGCACCCGGGACACGAGCTCCCTCCAGCACTCACCCTGGGGACGCGTCCGCTGGAAAAGCAGCCACAGCAGAGGCAGCAGCGCCAGCTTGGGCAGCGGCCACGGCCAGAAAGGGGCGCCCCTGCCTCCCCGCATGGCGCCCCCCGCGCGTCCCGAGTCCGGCCCAGCCCTGCCGGGCCCGCGCGGCTGCGCTGCTCGGCTCCCAGCTCTGGGTACAGCGCCCGAGGCGGCAACGGGAAGCCGAGCCACCCCTGCAGGCCGCCTCCGCACCTTTCGCTCCGGGTCCCCGCCCCTTCCCCGCGACGGAAAGTCCCCGCTGGGGCTGCTGAGGGGGAGTGGGGAGGCGGCCTGGGGCGTCTGGGGGTGGGGGCCTCCGAGGGAGGGTACCGCGTACCGCGCATCCCTGAAACCTGTCCTACGCCCAACAACCGCGGCGCGCGCGCACACACACACACACACACACACACACACACACACACACTGTCTGCCAGTCTTGGAATTTTTATTATTGGAGTTTGGGAAGATTCTAATGTGCCCAGAGCTCTCCTACGGGGGCCACCTGCCACCTTCTCTGGGGTCCACAGCCTTGGAACTTTGTCAGGGGAGTTGGAGGAGAGGGGATGGAAAGCAGGGAAAAGGAAGCTTGCGTGCAAAGGCTGGACTAAGACAGAGGCTTAATTTGAGCTGGCCACAGTTTGGACTGGGCAGGGGGCAGGGGTCACTGTGTGGCCTGTCTGGGTAGAATAGGGACCCAGTTGTGGCAGTGCAGTCACAGGCAAACGCATAGATAGGGTTGGGGAGAGGTCAGAGGTCAGGATCAGGGGTCCCCACTTGTCCAGGCAGGGGCACAGCTTGCTCAGGGGACAGGGTCATGATAGGCTGGTCAAAAGGCAGGGTTGGTTAGGTGGTGTCAGGGGACTGTGCCTGAGCCCACAGTGCCTGGACTCTGTGACTTGCAGACGAATGAATGAATATGTGAGGCTCGAAAGACAGGTGCCCAGCCAGACACTGGTTAAGTGGATGGCAGGACTGGGGCATTGGTACTGGTGCCCACAGCTGCCTAGCCCTCGAACTAGCAAAGGCTACTGATTTCACTTTTGCTACACCCCCATTTGCAGCAGCTGCTGGAAAGGCCAGCCAGGACATCTCGGCTGCCCCGAAGAGTCTGGGGGGTTCCTTGCCAGCTGGGTCGCCCCCCATAAAAGGCCTGGGGTGACTTGGTCAGGGCCAGCCACTTGCTGGACCCCATGGCCTCATCCAGCTGGCCTGCCAGACTGTCTCCATCAGCATCTGCCTCCGGGAAGGTATCTCCTGCAAAAGATGAACAGAGTTAGTGCTCAGGGCTCAGCTGCCGCTGCACCCACAGTCCTGGCTCCTGGACGGTCTAGCTCTGATCTTGTGACAACAGTTATAGACATAGTTCACAGACATAGTTCAGAGTTTTGATTCCACCCGGTCCTGGGTTCAAATTCTGGCTCTGCCAGAGTAGGTGGGAGAGTAGCTGGGATTACAGGGGTCTGCCACCAGGCCTGGCTGATTTTTGTATTTTTAGTAGAGACGGGGTTCACCATATTGGCCAGGCTGGTCTCAAACTCCTGGCCTCAAGTGATCTGCCCACCTCAGCCACCCAAAGTGCTGGGATTACGGGAGTGAGCCACTGCACCCAGCCCTGTCATTTATTTTCCCTTACTCTTTATTATTAATTGAGGACCTGGTACATTTGGGAGCTGGGCTGACTGAGCATGAATCCAGCCCCTCCAAGCTGTAATCGTGAGCAAGTAAATTTACTTATTGGAGCCTCAATGTTCTTTTCTGCAAAGTGGAAAAAAATAATTATTCCAACCTTCTCAAGTTTTTTTTTTTTTTTTTTTTTTTTTTTTTTTTGAGGCGGAGTCTCGCTCTGTTGCCCAGGCTGGAGTGCAGTGGCGCGATCTCGGCTCACTGCAAGCTCCGCCTCCCGGGTTCCCGCCATTCTCCTGCCTCAGCCTCCCGAGTAGCTGGGACTACAGGCGCCGCCACCACGCCCGGCTAATTTTTTTTTGTATTTTTAGTGGAGACGGGGTTTCATTGTGTTAGCCAGGATGGTCTCGATCTCCTGACCTCGTGATCCGCCCGTCTCGGCCTCCCAAAGTGCTGGGATTACAGGCTTGAGCCACCGCGCCCGGCCCCTTCTCAAGTTTTATAAGGAGTAGAGGAGTTAATATCCATTAAAAAAAAAAAAAAAAAACTTAGAACAATGTCTGGGACATGATGAGCACTCAAAAATGATTATTTAGTTCAGGCATGGTGGCTCATACCTGTAATCCCAGAACTTCCAGGAGCCCATGCAGGAAGATCACTAGAACCAGGAGTTCAAGAACAGCCTGGGCAACACAGCACTACCCTGTTTCTACAAATAATAATAAGTTAGACATGGTGGCATAAGTTAGAGATGGTGGCACAAGCCTGTAGTCCCAGCTACTCAGGAGGCTGAGGCAGGAGAATTGCTTGAGCCCAAGAGGTTGAGGCTGCAGTGAGCTGTGATCATACCACTGCACTCTAGCCTGGGCAACAGGGCAAGACCCTGTCTCTAAAATAATAATAATAATTTATTGATCACTTACTGTGTGTCAAACAACGTTTAAGTGCTTTAGCAGGTTAACTTCTTTATTCTTCTGAGTGACAACCAGTTGAGGTGGGTGCAGTTAGCACCCCTATTTTCCAGAAGAGACCACCGAGGCAGGACTCAGTAAAGAATTTGCATGGCCAGGCGCAGTGGCTCATGTCTGTAATCCCAGCACTTTGGGAGGCTGAGGAGGGTGAATCACCTGAGGTCAGGAGTTTGAGACCAGCCTGGCCAACATGGTGAAACCCTGTCTCTACTAAAAATAAAAAGATTAGCAGGGTATGGTGGCACACACCTGTAATCCCAGCTACTTGAGAGGCTGAGGCACAAGAATCACTTGAACCCAGGAGATGGAGGTTACGGTAAGCCGAGATTGCACCACTGCACTCCAGCCTGGGCAACAGAATGAGACTCTGTCTCAAAAAAAAAAAAAAAAAAAAAGCCGGGCACAGTGGCTCACGCTTGTAATCCCAGCATTTTGGGAGGCCAAGGCGGGTGGATCATGAGGTCAGGAAATCGAGACCCTCCTGGCTAACATGGTGAAACCCCATCTCTACTAAAAAAAAAATACAAAAAATTAGCCGGGCGTGGTTGCAGGTGCCTGCAGTCCCAGCTACTCGGGAGGCTGAGGCAGGAGAATGGCCTGAACCCAGGAGGCGGAGTTTGCAGTGAGCGGAGATCATGCCGCTGCACTCCAGCCTGGGCGACAGAGCGAGACTCTGTCTCAAAAACAAACAAACAAACAAAAAGATTAGCATACGAACACACAACTATTACGTTGTAGAGTTACTATCTGAATCCAAGTGGTGTGTCTTCTAGGTCCACGCTCATACCTATCCTCCTTCTCACCAACATGAATATCTATTTCCCAGGCCCCTGCCCCTCATGAAGCTAGGTCTTCTGTTCCCTCCGACTCTCCTGATAGATCCCAGACTGTGCCGCTGCCCTGCTTAGACTCTGCCCTAATCTCTTTTGACTTAATCACACCACTTAATCCTGCAAGGTTCAGGAACTGTGTCTCCCATTTGAAGATAAAGCCACTCAGAGACTCCAATCTCAGCACTTAGGGAGGCTGAAGCAGGAGGATCACTTGAGCCCAGGAGTTCGAGACCAGCCTAGGCAACATAGTGAGACCCTGTTTCTACAAAAAAAAAAAAAAAAAAAATTAAAACTAGCCAGGCGTGGTGTCAGTTGCCTGTGGTCTCAACTACTCTGGAGGCTGAGGCGGGAGGATCGCTTGAGCCTGGGAGGTCAAGGCTGCAGTGAGCAGTGATTGGGCCACTGCCTTCAAGCCTGGGCAATGGAGTGAGACCACATCTCAAAAAAAAAGACAGAGACGGGAGGAGAAACCAGCTTGCTGGAGAGAGGTCACGCATTAGGTGACAAAATCTGGCTATGTGTATATCACACCCTTCACATTATCTCCTGGAAAGGGTTGGAAACCACTTTGGTGTTGTCTTTGCCAATGGCGCTCTCCCAGCCCCCACCTCCGGAGCATACAAGCAGCAGCTTTGCTTTGCACAGGACACATAGCAGCTGCTCAGAAAAGAGTAACCTGTGCTCGGACTTCCAGCCACCAGGGATGGCTTGCAACCCCCCATCCCAGCTCTGCAGCTCTGCTAACTCCTGAGCCCTTGTGTCAAGGCTGGGCAGGTGTCCCTGGCTGAATGTGGCAGGGCAAGGACCCTCCTCCTCCAGCAACCTCCTCTCATCTCTGTCCTTAGCTCCTGGGACCCATCCAGCCACCCGTTCCCCTCCTACATCCACTCTCTCCCCAGCCTCACCCATAGTCTCGTGGACCAGGATGTCCGATCGTCTCCACCGGGATCCCCCGCAGGTGAAGATGACTGCTCGGATGAATTCTCGCCCGCAAAGCTTCACTCCGTAAGGCGCTGCCCGGGCTTCAGTCCCCGGCCACAGCTCCCCCGTCAGCACCCACGCCGCCAGGAGCAGCAGCAGCGTGTACCTGGCCATGCTGGACAGAGATGCCTTGGACGTGCGAGTGGGCCAGTGTCTCCGCTGCCTCTTGGCCCCCCATTTATACATCGTGGCTCCCCCACACTCTGCCTGAAGAAAGCTGAGTGCCTCCCTTATCTTCTCCAGCAGAGGGGAGACAGGCACGGCCTCAGCAACCCGACCTTTCTCATGTCCCCAATGAAGTGATAACCTTTCGCTAGGGACAGGGTGACGTGGCCCAGCTCATTGTCATCATCGACAGAAAGGCGAGAAGGTCTCCATCCTGCAGAGACCAGAAATGAATAATCCCAACAGGCAGGGCAAGAGGATGCAACCAGACCCCCACAACGTTAGGGTCCTGGACCTCTTCAAAGATAATAATAACAATGAATGCCCGTGCAGTATGCGCTATGGGGCCAGGCACACTGCTCTAAGCATTTTATTTGTTTATTTATTTATTTTTATTTTATTTTTTGAGATGGAGTCTCGCTCTGTCGCCCAGGCTGGAGTGCAGTGGCGCGATCTCGGCTCACTGCAAGCTCCACCTCCTGGGTTCATGCCACTCTCCTGCCTCAGCCTCCCAAGTAGGTGGGACTACAGGCACCCACCACCACACCCGGCTAATTTTTTGTATTTTTAGTACAGACGGGGTTTCACCGTGTTAGCCAGGATGGTCTCTATCTCCTGACCTCGTGATCCGCCTGCCTCAGCCTCCCAAAGTGTTGGGATTACAGGCGTGAGCCATCACACCTAGCCGAAACCGCACTTTTAGGAGCATGGGGTTATCAATTCAGGACTAAGACAATTCCCATATTACAAATGAGGAAACAGAGACACAGAAGGGTGTCCTGAGGCAGCAGATGCCAACATTTTTGACACCAGAAACCGGTTTCATGGAAGACAATTTTTCCATGGATGGAGTGTTGGGGGGATGGTTTCGGGATGATTGAAGTGTATCACGTTTGTTGTTGTTGTTGTTTGTTTGTTTGTTTGTTTTGAGATGAAGTCTTCCTCAGTCACCAGGCTGGAGTGCAATGGTGTAATCTCAGCTCACTGCAACTTCTGCCTCCCAGGTTCAAGCGATTCTCCTGCCTCAGCTTCCTGAGTAGCTGAGACTACAGGCACGCACCACCACACCCAGCTAATTTTTTTTTTTTTTTTTTTCCGGAGACAGAGTCTCGCTCTGTCGCCCAGGATGGAGTGCAGTGGCGCGATCTCCGCTCACTGCAAGCTCTGCCTCCCGGGTTCATGCCATTCTCCTGCCTCAGCCTCCCGAGCAGCTGGGACTACAGGCACCCGCCAACACGCCCGGCCAACATGGAGAAACCCTATCTCTACTAAAAATACAAAAAAAGCCAGGCGTGGTGGCGCATGCCTGTAATCCCAGTTACTCGGGAGTCTGAGGCAGGAGAATCACTTGAACCCAGGAGGCACAGTCTACAGTGAGCCAAGATTGAGCCACTGTGTGCCAGTGTGGGCGACAGAGTGAGACTCTGTCTCAAAAAATAATAATCATAATAATAATCATCAAATAAAAATTATATATATATATACATATTGAGAGGCTGGCAATGGTGGCTCACGCCTGTAATTCCAGAACTTTGAGCACCCAAGGCAGGAGTATCGCTTGAGCCCAAGAGTTCCAGACCAGCCTGGGCAACATGGTAAAACCCCACCTCTACAAATAATTTAAAAATTAGCCGGGTGTGGTGGCACACGTCTGTCGTCCCAGCTACTCAGGAGGCTGGGGTGGGAGCATCACTTTTGCTTAAATGTTCAAGGCTGCCATGAGCTGAGATTGCATCACTGCACTCCAGCCTGTACAACCGAGCAAAACCTTGTCTCAAAAAAAAAAAAAAAAAAAAAAAAATTGAGGCCGGGCACGGTGGCTCATGCCTGTAATCCCAGCATTTTGGGAGGCCAAGGCAGGCGGATCACTTGAGTTCAGGAGTTTCAGACCAGCCTGTCCACTGTGGTGTAAAATCCAGTCTCTGACAAAAATACAAAAATTAGCCAGGCATGGTAGCACATGACTGTAGTCCCAGCTACTTCGGAAGCTGAGGCAGGAGAATTGCTTGAACCCGGGAGGTGGAGGTTGCAGTGAACCGATATTGCGCCACTGTACTCCAGCCTGGGCGACAGAGACTCTGTTTTCAAAAATTAATAAAATAAAATAAACAATTTTAATACTGTATACATATAATGTTCATAACAGTATTATTCACAAGAGCCAAAAGGTGGAAGCAATCCAAATGTCCACCCACAGATGAAAAAACACAACATGTTCCATCCATACAATAGAACATTATTGAGACATAGAAAGGAAGGAGGCCGGGCACTGTGGCTCACACCTGTAATCCCAGCACTTTGGGAGGCAGAGGCGGGTGGATCACTTGAGGCCAGGAGTTCGAGACCAGTCTGGCCAACACGGTGAAACCCCATCTCTACCAAAAAATACACAAATTAGCCAGGTGTGGTGGCGCATACCTGTAGTCCCAGCTACTCGGGAGGCTGAGGCACGAGAATCGCTTGAACTCAGGAGGCAGATGTTGCAATGACCCGAGATTGCGCCACTGAACTTCGGCCTGGAGGACAGAACAAGACTCTGTCTCAAAAATAAATAAATAAATAAATAAAATAAATAAGAGGAAGCACTGCTCCATGCCATGATGTGGAAGAACCTCGAAAACATAATGCTGAGTGAGAGAAGCCAGGCACAAAAGGTTACATAGTGCATGACTCTACTTATATGAAATGCCCAGACCAGGCAACTCCAGAGACAAAAGGTACATTACTGGTTGCCAGGGGCTGGGGAGATAGGGAACGGGGAGCCACTGCTTACTGGGTATGAGACTTCTTAGGAGTGATGAAAATGTTTTGGCACTAGAGATGACGGTTGCACAACACCGTGAATGTACTAAATGCTATTGAATTGTGCAATTTAACATGTTTGATTCTATGTTATGTCAATTTCTTTTCTTTTTTTTTTTTTTTTTTTTTTTCAAGATGGAGTCTCACTCTGTCACCCAGGCTGGCGTGCAGTGGTACAATCTATCTCGGCTCACTACAACCTCCGCCTCCCAGGTTCAGTCGATGCTCCCGCCTCAGCCTCGCGAGTAGCTGGGATTACAGGCATCTGCTACCATGCCTGGCTAAATTTTGCATTTTTAGTAGAGATGGGGTTTCACCATGTTGGCCAGGCTGGTCTCTAACTCCTGACCTCAAGTGATCCACCCGCCTCAGCCTCCCAAAGTGCTGGGATTACAAGTATGAACCACTGTGCCCGGTCTTTACTTTTTTAAAGAGATGAGGGCTGGGCGTGGTGGCTCACGCCTGTAATCCTAGCACTTTGGGAGGCTGAGGCAGGCGGATCACAAGGTCAGAAGATCGAGACCATCCTGGCTAACATGGTGAAACCCTGTCTCTACTAAAAATACAAAAAACGTAGCCGGGCACGGTGGCGGGCGCCTGTAGTCCCAGCTACTTGGGAGGCTGAGGCAGGAGAATGGCGTGAACCCGGGAGGCGGAGCTTGCAGTGAGCGGAGATCGCGCCACTGCACTCCAGCCTAGGCGACAGAGCGAGACTCTGTCTCAAACAAAAAAAAAAAAAAAGAAGAGACATGAGGCCTCACTACGTTGCCCAGGCTGATCTGGAACTCCTGAACTCAAGTGATCCTCCCCCTTTGGCCTCCCAAAGTGCTGGAACTACAGGTGTGAGCCACCAGCCACAGCTATGTTAATGTTAATTTCACCTCGACTTTAAAACACAGCAAAAACAAGGGCTCTGGTAAGCGGGGTGAGCCTGGCTTCAAAATCCACCTCTGCCTCTTTCCTGCTGTGTGACCTTGGCCAAGTCACTTAACCTCTCTGTGGCTTGGTTTCCTCACTTGCAAAATGGGAAAGATTTAATGAGTGAGTCAAATTTTTACAACAATCTCCAGCATGAAGTAAGTGCTGTTTAAATGTTATTTCTACTGGACACATTCCCTTTGGATTAGAACTTCATCTCTTTGTCCTTTTCTCTGTCACAAACTCCTGGCCCCAGTTGCCTGCTGTGGATGTCATGGGCCAAGGACAACATTCTGGAGGCAGAGGTCACCTCTGATTGTACTGCTTCTAAAGGGCTGATGAATAATACTCTCTTCCCCTCTGCCTCTTCTCCAGGAACCTCCTGTAGGGAGGTACCCTCTTGCCCTTCTCTCCTGCGCCCCCAGTGCCTGGCCTGGGGACTGGGGAGAATAAGCATTCAGGAAATATCTGCTGCTTGCCTGCCTGACTTAACTGATGGGCCTCAAACCAGAAGTCTTTTTTTTTTTTTTTGACACAGGGTCTCACTCTGTCGCTCAGACTGGAGTGCAACAGAGTGATCTCGGCTCACCGCAGCCTCTGTCTCTAGGGTTCAAGATATTCATGTGCCTCAGCCTCCCGAGTAGCTAGGATTGCAGGTGTGGGTCACCCTATCTGGTTAATTTTTGTATTTTTAGTAGAGACGGGATTTTGCTATGTTGGCCAGGCTGGCCTCGAACTCTTGACCTCAAGTGATCTGCCCACCTCAGCCTCCCAAAGTGCTGGCGTGAGCCGCTGCACCCAGCCCAGAAGCCTCTTTGGTGTCTCACATAGAATCAGAGTTTTGGGGGCAACATAGCTAGGTTCAAATCTCTGTTTCTGTGTGTCCTTGGGTAAGACCCCATACCTCTCTGAGTTCACTGTGAAGATGGAGATGATAAGTATACCTGCTTCACAAGGCTCTGGGGACTTTGGTGAAATTCTACAGAGTCGTAAGCATTCTGTACAGCACTCAGTCGGTGTAGTGTGTAAATGGTGATCTGCAGAAATCTATGTCCACATCCTAAACACCAGGATCTATAAATGTGATCTTACTAGAAAAATGTCTTTGAAGTCAAGCGCGGTGGCTCACGCCTGTAATCCCAGCACTTTAGGAGGCTGAGGCGGGTGGATCACCAGGTCAGGATATCGAGACCATCCTGGCTAACGCGGCAAAAACCCATCTCTACTAAAAATACAAAAAAAATTAGCCGGGTGTGGTGGTGGGCGCCTGTGGTCCCAGCTACTCTGGAGGCTGAGGCAGGAGAATGGCGTGAACCCGGGAGGCGGAGCTTGCAGTGAGTGGAGATGCGCCACTGCACTCCAGCCTGGGCGACAGAGTGAGACTCCGTCTCAAAAAAAAAAAAAAAAAAAAAAAAAAAAGAGTTGAAGTGAAGACACAGATGAAAGAGGAAACTTCATATGAAGACAGAGGCAGAAATTGGGTTAATGCCATTG